GGTACAACGCTGCCCGCATGCTATCTCAAGACGTCGAGAACCTCTTTACGTGCGCCACCGTCGTCAACCCCATCACGGACTGGTCACTCTATGGTAAGCCTTACTGCCGACTTAAATCAATGTACTAAACATAATCGTGACGTTTTCTTAATAGCACTGGGGAATCTCATGCTGCTGTTAGTTCTACACGTAACCGAGTTTCTCTTAATAGCACTTAGAATGCCATGATATTGTTTATTCAATTCTTCAGCCATGTACGCGTATTTCAGTATTCATGCACCTTCTTCAGCAAGACATATTCTTATTGTTGATAACTGCACTATCAGTATCTTCCAGTGTAATGGTCTCAATACAAGTGCCTTTTTTATAAGGTCTAGTAAGATTCTCATCCCATAAGAACAATTATATTCTATATGATGCTCATATTTATATGTTTCATGTATATACTAAATCACGAAGCGTCAGTTAGTAAAGTGTTTTAATTTCTTCGTTGTCTTCCTCATTCTCTCAGTTCGTATTCTAGGGGACAAAAAAAAAGAGTACATAAATAGAATAGTTTCCCATCAAATTATTTAGATTGTATCTCGTTTTCTATAAAAGCAAGAGAGAGAATGGAAGCCCTAACTGCAGCAAAAAATATTCTGTTTATCTTGATTGTTTGAATGAGTTCATGCATTTCCAGAAGAGAGAGTCGCCTAGATTTGCTACTTTGCATGTACTACCAAATTACATCAATTCGCTAATCCTATAGTTTAACAGTATTCATTTTACGCTAAGTTTTGTATCATTACGTTTGCTCTGAAATCTCAGGTAAAACGTAATGTGATTTTTCTTTCTTTCTTTCTTTCAGTCTTTCTTTTTTTAGAATCGCTTTCTTTATTGAAAACAAACACCAGAAGAAGCAAATTTTGCCTAAAGCTAATACTTGCCAGTCGTTATCAATAGACTTTCTTTTTTTCTCTCTTTTTTTTTTTTGCTGTAGTTCTGTCCCACTTTTATATAGGGTCGCCTTAAACTGGTTCTGGCAGATATTTTCTTATAACCGGATGCCCTTCTTGACACCAACTCTCTTTATTCATCCGGGCTTGAGACCGGCACTGACTTGGGCCGGCTTGTCCACAAAATAAAAAAAAATACTATACGTCATTCCCTTTGGCCTACAGCGTCGTACTACAGCGAGCGATACATGGGCTCGATGCAGGTAGGACCCGGAGGGAACTACAGAGGATACGAAGAGAGCTCCCTGTTGTTCCACGCCGGAAACTTCAAGAACAAGAGCCTCTTCCTCGTCTACGGCTCGGGGGACACCGACGTCCACAGTGCCCACACGCTCAAGTTCTCCAAGGCGCTTACGGAGAAGGGCATCATCTTCAGGTAGGCACAGCGATCTTATGGCGTTAGAAGAGCTTAAGCGTAAATATTTTTTTCAGTTTTGAGTAGAGGAATGGTTTGATTGGGATTGATATTTCCTTAATTTTATTAACTTTTACCTTTTTATGATATTTGATATAGTTTTCTAACGATAGATTTTTTTTTCATTAAGCTGAGCTATCTAATTTGATCAAAAGACAGATAGAGACAGAGGAAGGTATAAAGAAAGAGAGAAGGGGAATACATTGTGTAGGAGAGGAGAGGAAGAGGAGAGGTGTAGGCTGATAAATTTATGAAGAGAAAGCAAAAAGAAAGTAATAGATATGAAAGAGAGGAAAGGGATAGAGCAAATCAGAGAGACTAAAGACTTGCTACAAATTTCTTGTGAATATTGCCATTAGGATGTAATATACTGATTCGTAAAATCCAGGCCAACACCTAGATCTTTAATCGCCTGAGCTGAATGTATTGGTAGAAAACCAGCAGTAATTGTTCGTTTGTTTGTTTTACTTTAACACCAATCCCTTGAACTTTTCCCTCGCGTCCTTTCCAGGCAACAGACCTACACGGACGAGGGCCACGACCTGGAGCGAGTGAGATTCCACCTGTACAGAAGCGTGGAGCAGTACATGACCGACTGCTTCCCCCCGTACAACGAGGAGGAGCTGAGCTTACTCTTCGGGAAGGACGCCATCCTATAGTCGCCGTCGCGAAGGCCCGCCCCCCCCGCGACCCGCGACCCGCTCTCCCCTCGTCCCCCTGCCCTCGGGCGGTGTTCTTCCCGCGGCCGAGAGGCGTTGCCCTTCGGTACCTGCGCCACAGAGATCGGCTCCCTATTGGCGAGGCTGCGCTCTGCGGTCGTGTCCTTGAGGTGGCTCTCGCGGTCCCTGCTGTGGACGCCCCTTGGGAAGGTCTCTTTCTTCTAGGGGAACCTCCCCCTACGTACTGACCGTCTTGGGAGGCGCCGAAGCCCCTCGCACCGTAACCCGGCTTGTCTTGATAGCACTGATTTTTAATCAAACTTCTTGTAAACGAAGCAGACTCCAGTCCTTTATTCTGGGAAGAGATCTGACTTTCTCAGATTCGCTCACTGATCGGTATATTACCATTTTCGGAAGAGAAAATGAAA